GGAAGAGGGAGGGAGGGAGGGAGGGAGGGAGGGAGGGAGGGAGGAAGGAAGGAAGGAAGGAAGGAAGGAAGGAAGGAAGGAAGGATTAAAACTGCTAAAGTGGCCCCATATTATCCCCAATTTCCAGAACAGGAATTCTGTCCCCCTCTCTCATGGAAGACCCCAAATTTTTACATGCAAAAAGGAGTCTGCCTAAACTCAGACCCTTCTCTCAAAATAAAGTTTCCAGTCCTCTTGATTGCAAGTACAAGACACTGATTCTTGCCACACTGACTTTACTTCAGCCGTGTCCTCGTGAAAACTGGGAAAATCAATTTTTTTCCTCTGGGTGAAATGGGCAGTGTAGAAATTTGATAAATACGTTCAATAAAATAATTGTCCAAAACATTTGCCGATGATCTACGCTCAGCTGCGGATTCAGCAAACACACGGGCCAGAATCCAACTGGTGTAGAAAACAGCCTGAACCTCACAGCCCCAAGATCCTTTGAAACCAAAAATTGGAAGAGGATTTTTCCGCTTTCAATTTCTCCTTTCCTCCTTCATTTTTAACCCAAATCATAGAGAAAGTAATAACATTGGCCCAAACTCTGTATTTTCTCTGCAAATTTTCCCCAGCAGATGTTATGTTATTTAATTATCTATCTGTATAGGATATGGAGGATGAATGAACAGGAGGGACCCTGAACAGCCAAAATAAGATCGAGAAAGGGCCAACGTTCAAAGGATGCAACTCACTATATCGTTCTTGTCCACCCGGGTCCCCACAATCTTTAATCGGATATTATCTTCTGGCTGGATAACAATGTCCTGGTTTGGGAGTAAAAAAAAAAGCAGAGGGAACATCACGAAGAGAATAAGAATTAATGTGATGCAGTGGTTAAGACTGTGTTTCCCAAACACACTTTAAGACGGGTGGACTTCAACTCCCAGAATCCCCTAGCTAGCACGCTCTAAGATTTCTGGCTTTCAATTCCCAGAATTCCCCAGCCAGCATGCTTTGCGATGGGTGGATTTCAACTCCCAGAATTCCCCAGCCAGCAATCTTGAAGGTGGGTGGACTTCAACTCCCAGAATTCCCCAGCCAGAATGCTTTAAGACGGACTTCAACTCCCAGAATTCCCCAGCCAGCATACTTTAAGATGAGCGGACTTCAACTCCCAGAATCCCCAGCCAGCACGCGTTAAGACGGACTTCAACTCCCAGAATTCCCCAGCCAGCCTGCTTTAAGGAAGGAAACAGACTCACCTCATCCACAGTCTTGTAGCAGGGCGGATTCGAGTTAGTATCGTACTCCATTTCTGAAGGAATCGACTGCGGAGAGAAACGAGATCTAGGATCAACTGCTGGGAAGGGATCCTTCCCTTCCCTGGCCCGTTCCACATGGAACCATCCACCCTGCTACCCTCCTCCCGGTCCACTCACATGTCGGGATATGAAACAAGACATCGGTCCGATCTCGGTGAAGAGGCCAACCTAGGTTGGGTTGCAGAAGCCAGAAATTAAAATAGGGATTTTTTTCAAGGAGGTTTCTGGGGGGGGAAAATTCTCTTTAAGTCTCAGAAGGTGCGCTGGGCCTTACCTTGTTCACCTGAGTGACAATGGCGTCCACCACTTCACCCTTGAACGGGCGGAAGACAATCGCCTTGTACTTGACCGGGTAAAGGACAAAGCCGCGTCCCGGCTGAATCACGCCGGCTCCGATATTGTCGATGGTGGTTACGGCGATGACGAAGCCATACCTGGAAGTGAGAGGTGAATCCTGACATTAAAGCTAATTCTCTTCCCCCCCCCATGAATTATGGCTGGCTTCCTTTCCCCCCCCCTCCCCACCCGAGATCTTCAGATAAGGAAAGGCGGTTTGGTGCAGTGGTTAAAACACCAGGCTAAAAACCAGGAGACGGTGAGTTCTAGTCCCACTTTAGGCATGAAAGCCAGCTAGGTGACTTTGAGCCAATCACTGGGATACGGTGAGTTCTAGTCC